GGATTAAACGAAAATTTATCGAGAGACACGCTGTCGCAAATATTGCAGTCGGAATACTTGAGAAAGGACTTATCTTTATAATATCTGCTGTATGTGGCAGAAATATCATTAATATATATTTATTCTTATATATAAACATTATTAAATTATATTTTAAATTGTTTGAAATTTTATCATTTCGTAAGTCTTGTTCTCATTTTCCAGTTCTTACAATACGTAAGTGAACAGATCATCTCTCCCATGTGCTAAAATATTGTAAAAAAATATATAAATGTGAAAGTTAAAATTTCTTCTATGTACAGTCTTAAGTTTTATAGAATATACATTTTTTATATCCTAACCACATAACTAAAAATTTTAATTTTTATTATAACATCACAAAATGTTTTCCGCTAATTCTTGAGTGATACAATACATATATTAATTAAGGTGTATGATGAGTTTCATAAATGTGTCTTGCATTTCTCAATTAGTTTTTCAAATAATTCCATTCTTTCCATCAAGTTATGGCACTGTCTATCAAAATCACACTTTGTTGCCTCAAAAAATTTAATAAAAATTTATTCAAGATATAAATAAAGCATTATGATATGTCTTCGACTGGCCGATACGCGATGACCAAATGCATCACACCAACATTCTTGTAAACGTTCGTAGCTACCTCATTGGGAATCATTCAAAATGATTGAAAAGCAAACAGGCATCTCAGTGTTCTCAACAAACACTTTGCAACCTCTTCCTTCTTTTCAATAACAAATAATCGCTGGATGAGAGATAGAGCATATCACAACACTGGAAGCGCTGAACTATGACTTTGGTATATTATAGCCCCGGTGAAATTAATCGCTGCCGCTAACACGAAAACTGGCATCCACCAACCGTGCGAGGCAGTTACTAATTCAGCTGTCAATGGTCCACAAAGAATTCCAGGTACTGTTGCCTGAAAATCAAGATACACGACACAGATAATGTAGTCAACTTTACGGCGATCATATCGATATTGACTCATTGTTACGTAAAAAAATGCGTACAATTGTATTTGAAACTGCAAACGTAATTCCCGCATGATTCGGAGCTATATCCGCGTGATTACTTAAGTGTCCGGCTGAATTGCACGCGCAGAGGCCCATAGATATCGAAACAAAGCTGTAAGATAATAATTTCATAAAGAAAAAATCAAACATAGAAAAAAATAGAAAACATAAGACTAATATTGTTATACATACATGACTGCAGCAAGCAGATTATCTACAGCACAGAAAGCTAATAGAAAAGCACCTGGTCCTATTAGGCCTATGTTTGTCATTAATCTTCTAACAGACAAAACAGACCATCTTTTTTGTATCAAAGTATCAGCACTGTGACCAGCAACTGTGAAAAAAAAGAGGATAGTTTTGAAAAATATTTAAAACAAAGTTGAAATATATATAATTATATATGTATACTTACCAATACCAATGAGAGAATTAACGATATAAGGGAGGGCCGTCAAACTAATGCTCTCCGTATTCGCAGATAAGTTTCTCGCCAAATAAGTTGGCAGCCACTGCATTATTATGTAATTACTCCAATTCATTGCAAAGTGTGCTATATACAAAGCCCACAGGGGCCAGTGAGCAATAAACTCAGTCCAACGTAAGCTTCTATTCTGAGCTACCTGTCAATCAATTATAAAACGTCAATACCAAAGATATAATTGAAAGTAAATTAAATGTCGGACAAAAATTTACTTTAGGAACAAATAACGGAATCTCATCTTGAGAATTAGTTTCCTGATACAGCATCAGCCACAACACAGTCCATACGATACCTATTGTCCCAAATAAATAAAATCCAGTTTGCCACGCCAAGTGGGAACATACCTAACGAATGGAAAGACGTATGATTTGTAAAACATAATTTTTTAAATAATTTAATGCACATTTTAAGAATAAAATAAGACTTACAACAGATGCGACCACTTGGCCAACAGAACCAGCAGCTACTAGATAGCCAAAAGCGCGGGATCTTTCTTCCACAGGAACATTATGTGCGAATAAATGAAATATCACTGGTAGGCCTACAAACAATCTCAAGTTAACTCCTAATCTCAAAATCCATTAGGCCTGTTCTTTTTAGCTAACTTCTAGCGTCATTTATTTTTTGTCTTAATTTTTTTCTTTACACAAAAAGTGGAAACATAAGCCATGTAAGAAGTTTATAAATTGGTAAAAAGAACAGGCCTTTGTTTTTGTTTAGCTCAACTTTTTGCATTGTTCATTATCTTCTAACGAAGAATTAAAGAGGAAAAACAGGTCTCAAGTCTGTTCTTTTTCAAAGAATGTTCTGAACTGCAGGTGTATAACGGAACAATAAGTTGGAGTGAAATAAATACAGTAATGTTTTGAATTGGTATATACTGCAATGGTTGTAATAAGTTGGAGTAAAGTAACTAAATTTATTTCACTCCAACTTATTGCACCATATATACCAATTTAAAACACTTTTCAAAGAAGAACAGACCTCATATCTCTGAATGTTCCATTCCTTCTTTATCCTTACCTAATCCTTCTCCTAGTCCTAGAATCACCCTACAGAGTATGAGTAATGGTACCGATTGTGCTAGCAATGGTGTGATGACCGTACTAATGGACCATAGCAAAACTGCTAGCATAAGTACCGTTTTGCAGCCAAAACGACTTGCTGTGCTCGCTCCGATGATCTTGAAGGAGAGAATAACGCATTATAGGCGCTGCATTTTTATTAGCGGTGACACAAAGCGTACGAATCGTCTACCTGACTAGTAAAATATCCGAAAGCGAACGCAGACAGTATCCATCCCTGCCAGTACAGGTTCCACTTAAACTCATCGGTCATCAGCACGATGGCGATGGGCATGATGACCCTGTCCGCGGCGTTTATGAAATTTGCAGCCGAGCAGAGGGCCACGATGCGCGACGTGCGCGGTAACATCCTGAATTTTGCCATTGTCGATCTCCAGGCACCGTCAAATCGACCAGGTTTAACGACTGCCAATGATCATCTCATCGCCCAGGCTCGGTACGTTCCTGGTCAGCTGATCCTTCCTCGCTTATGACAAGCTGAACGCGTGCCCGCGGAAAAATGGGAAAAGGAAAACGTCGACAAACACGAGCGAATGTGTCGTATGCGGTATGTGGAGTACGCAGATTTCTAACCTCTACACTGTCGTAAAACGACGAATGTTCTACGACGATGTACCGTTTATACGTAACGGTAAAATAATTGGGATCATCGGGATTGTATTTATCCACCCGTCCCACACAGATAAACACTTTGCACTAATGTTAGAAATCGCAATCAAACGTCATTACTAACGACAAGGACGCGGCAAGACGTGAGCACCACGAAGACACAATTTGACGTGTCAAGTCAACACGATTCCAGCACGATCGATCCCGATATTCCCAACAGAGGGAAGTCTAAGTCCTAAGAATGGTTAATGAATATAAGCTGTATCCGCGTTTTAGGTATGTATGCATACTTACAATTACTTTGTTAGCCCTGTTCATAATTTATTAATTTATAGATTCAATATTCAAGTAAACCCAATATATATCCCTAACATTTAACTAATATATATATATTTTTTTTTGCCAATAAATTGTTAATAGGAATTATATAATTCAATCGACAAATCACTTTCAATAACACTTACAAGCTAAAGATAGAAAATAGAACTGAAGATGATGGTAAATAAAGAAATAAATAAATGAGAATTAGTGATGATTTACCATTAAATGTTGGTTTTAAGTGAATAACATATAAATAATTATAGGTCTATTCACGTTACTCACATTTTGTATTCAGCACTTTCGCTTAATTCTCTGATTTCTTCAATGCCCAAATATATATTTGTTTCATTTTAAGTGCAAACATTTTTGGGGATTTCAAATAATGCAATCAGATCTACTTTAATTAATTTAACAGTGTCAAGCATAAAAACAAATGCAGAAATATAAATAAAAAAAAATGCAGAAATATAAATAATTAAATATAAATAATTAATTATTTATAACATTTAAATATATTGATTAATTATGTGTATAATAATATACAAATGTGTTTTTAACTAACAAATATATTGATTAACATACTTTTTATTGGTATATGTACATTACGTGTTAAAAAAATGTATGAATTATTCAGCCACTTTTAGCAGAATTTGATTATTAATGTAGAAAAATTAACATACATAAATTTAAGAATTCCATAAATTTTACAGTATTTCTAAAGATAGACTACTAAAGTTGTAAAGTAATCCCTTAACTACTCAAATAATTTAGCAAGATTATACTAACTCATTTCGTACTCTTAACTTTTTAAAATAAAATACAAATATGTATACATATATATACATATATATATATATATAAACGTTTCTAAGAGAAAGAAAAAGGGAAAATCAAACGCTGCAACAGAGTTTCCCGATTGAGTTTCTCAGAACGATCGTAATTAGGGAAGGAAATAATATTTACGCGTATATTTTTAATAAAATTCTTATTAATTTGAGATCGACAAAGCTACTGTAATACAAAAGGCAGAATTGTATTACAATGCAAAAGGTAGAATTGCGCGCATCGCTGTGATGAAATTGTAGAGATCGCAATGTCTCTGGAATTTTTCCAAATATAGCTGTGCAGTCCAAATACGATTAATCGATCCATGTTGTGAGGTGCTATTTATAATCGATTTTCAATAAGGTAAATCTTTCATTAAAGACCGATTAAGAATTTTATGTTAACTCATAATACAATATATTAATTTTACGATTTATTATAACGTAGATATGTACATTATACATCCGCGACGTGAAAACATAACATTCAATTTTTATTTAAAAAACAATATCGTTCGTACTCGATCATCCATTCAAGTAATGATTGTTGAAAAAAATACAGCTTCGCAATTATACGTTCGATATTATTACGTAAATCAGTATATTCATCCACGAAGCATTTGTATATAATTAATAAATCATGAATTTAATATCTACTGCATTATGAGCTAATTATGCAGATATTTATATCAGATAATTAAAACGATCGAGAATATCTGTACTTTACAATTGTCTTCAAGTTCACTATGCTCACTTGATGATCATCAGGCAAATTTATCCAGAGCTAGCTGTTTTTCATATCGACTTTAGTATCTCGCTGGTAATTAATACATTTAGATGGACGGCAGATGCGCTCCCTCGGGGTGGAATCCGTTCTCGTCGGCGACGTAGTTGACGGTGTACCTGACGTTGGTCTCCGGGTCGACGTAGCTGAAGCTACCGCGGACGACGAGAGCCTCGTTCTCATGACCAGCGTTTTGCAATTGAGCTGACTCTTGATGAGCCTGGCCGTTGGAGAGCTCGTAACCATACTGGTATCCATCAATACCGATGTTGTCCAGTGGTGTCTCTTTCACGACGACCGTCTGATCGTGAGGGGGTGCTGCGATGGCGACGGCCACGAGGGCGCAGAGGGCGATGATCTGCAGGTAGAGAACGTCAATTAATCGACTTGTCACTCGGTTTAGTTTTCGTTATTCACAATTGTTGATGAAAGCGATCGAAGTTATTAATAACTGTGTAGTGTGAGTGGTGTGATAGCATTCCGATGTATCCATTTTGATGCTATGACTCACAATCTTTGAATTAATTAGCGATAAATTTTATACGCTCGTCCAAAAAACAAGAGATGACTCATTGTAAATTATAATTCGGGAGAATCTTGTATATACCCACTGTTTTCATGTTGAATGTGGAGGCGGCGTACAGCTACTCTCGTTCGAAGAAGAAGACTGATGTGGATAGTCGAAATCAGCAGGGATTTTATAGTGTTCCTCCTACTGCCAAAATTTGACTGGGTATACACCAATTCACCTCTCACCTTTCTTCTTCGTATTTTGCTTGTTAACACATCTGCCGATCGTCCAGATTTCGACCTTCGTAAGAATTTTTCGCGAACGGCACTCAGCGATCTGAAACTTCACTCATTTAAAATCGCACACAGAGAGCTCCTAGGTAACTATTAGACTCTAACACAGAGATTTTGCAAATTTTATCATACTTATTTTATTGAAATAATTGTTTTATTATTGATAGTAGAATTTAATTATTATTTATCAAAAACCTAAATATTAACAAAAACTATGTAATTAATAAACGAATTTTGGGTCAAATAGATCTTATTTCAGGCATTCTGTATAAGATTATGTATTTTTGTAAAAATGTGTGGATAAATAACTATTTAGTTTTCGCAAAAGCCGCAACTTACAATTGGTTAGAAATTATGAGAAAAAGTATTTTATATATATAATTTAAAACATTATATAAAATTATGTATAATTTTATATATTTGCATATAAATGAACATATTTTATGTATAATTCTATATGATTATATATAATTTTATATAATTATATATAAAACATTTTTTCCCGGGATATTAACATAATTAAAAAATAATTATTTTTAAATAAAATATAATTTATATAATTGGATAAATATCATGCAGATTTATTTAAATATATAAACAATAATAAAATAATATAAATTAAATCTCATTTAATAAATAAATGTCTAGACGGAAGTATCCCCCGAGTTTGTTAAAAAATTCTCTTGCAGTTTTCAAGGGTATGCAAGACGGAATTCCACTTTTCTTCAAGAATCTATTTAAGGAATTTCCAATCATTAATTATTGATGTAACCTTTATAGAGATGTAATTTTGCGAATTCTCCTATAAATTCCTATAATCCAAAGTCTTATAAATTAAGACGACCCTGGTCTGTAAAATAGCAAACAAATTTAAATTTGATTCTCGGCACTCATCTTTTTAAGCTACATGCGGCATCACGTTGTGGTCTCGTGATGAGATTTCTAGCCGCCCTCAAGGAACACTACTAGCTATTTTAGCTAAAGCCTTGAAAATAATAGCAACATAAAAATAATACATTTTTAACCTTCGATACGATCAAGAGAAACTACTTGATTAATTTATTCGGATTCTTTCGGTCTACATTTTGTTGCGAAACGTATCATCTTTAACTTAATGGATGTGTTGATGGCGATGAATATTTAAAGTTCTGAATCACTTATTAAATTAAAATCAATTTATTAATGATTTATAGTGCTATTTAAGAAAATAAATTTTAATATTTAAGAAAAAAATAATTAAATTCGTTATAAAAGATATTTTGAAATATTAACATATTGGTTTATTATAATTAAAAGATTTTTATATAATGGAAATAATAATTTATATTAAAGTATTTCTTAATATAATGCCATTTTATTAAATATATTATTAAGTTATTGATAAATTTTTATTATTTTTGTAAAAATGTGTGGATAAATAACTATTTAGTTTTCGCAAAAGCCGCAACTTACAATTAGTTGATACAAATTAAAAAATGTAGAATAATAATAGAGGTCTGTAAATATGTTAAATTATGAGAGAAATTTGACAAATAAACAACTCGTGAAAATTATAAATTTTTAACTGTTTTATTTTCCATTGTTTCTCAGCGTATTGTCTAATAAGACATAATTGAATGCGAAATAAAAGTAACTGGAACATATTATTGTGTGTTTCTCAAAACGCGTTTACATTATTTCATTGAATATATTTACTACTTACATAGTATTGAATTATGATTGAGTAATATAAACTATAGGCCAATTAATAAAACATGGGCATTATGATTTATATATTTATTGTTCTATAAAAAAATACAAATTATTTGTATAATACATATTGTTAATCGTATTATAGTAAATTAATCAAATCAAATAACGATCTCCAGTGAGAAATGAAAGTAAAATCGATGTCGAATCAACGTCGATTTGATGATTTCGAACATTGAGTTGATTGATGTCGATTCCATTATCACATCTTACTAAGATTCATTCAAATAGTTCATTTATTGTTTCGTAGAATTTATTACATTTTTAAGATTCAATCTTGATTTATCGAGAACGTTACTTGTCCAACGATCAAAGTAACGTGTCAAAAATGAAAGAGTCGTGAAATAATTTAGACATCAAGGATTAAATAAAAATCAATTTATTTAAAACTAGGTTTGTCATATTTGTATGTGTAATCGCTATGATCGAGAGATCGAGAGAATTGAGGTTCTCTTTAAATACGAGACTGGATGAAAAGTTGTAAGAACACAGATTTTGGTTGGCAGAATTCTCGTCAGGATTTAGGCGACTGGCAGATGCGCTCCCTCGGGGTGGAATCCATTCTCGTCGGCGACGTAGTTGACGGTGTACCTGACGTTGGTCGCCGGGTCGACGTAGGTGAAGCTACCGCGGACTACAAGAGCCTCGTTTTCATGACCAGCGTTTTGCAATTGGGCTGACTCTTGATGAGCCTGGCCGTTGGAGAGCTCGTAGCCAAACTGGTATCCGTCGAGGCCGATGTTATCCAGTGGAGTCTCTTTCACGACGACCGCCTGGTCATGATAGTCACGAGGGGGAGCCGCGAGGGCGACGGCGACGACGGCGGCGAAGGCGATGATCTGAAGTAACGTGCAAAATAATGAAATGATTTGTCAAATTCCAGTCCACTCAAAATCTACAATTGGGATACAAGACAAAAGACGTCTTTGTCTTCAAGAAATCTTTAAAACGTTTCTTAAACGCTTTTCGTAAAAAATATGTTTAAGACATCTATATCTTAATTTTTAGACTTTGCATTGTTTGGGACGATTCGTAATCATTAGTGATAAAATAACATTTTGATAAATTTTACACTTTTTTCGAAACTTATGACAATCTGATCCTATTCTCTGGCTCTTGTAAAGTTATATTCTTTTTTCGCGAATTTTGTGTAGAAGTATAAAAAATATAAAGAATAATTTATGAATTAATAAAATAGATACGAGAGATGAGACACATATTTCTCTCTTTTGCACAAGATAAAGACTCTCGTGATGACAATAATATAACTGTCATTCTAATACATTCTCAAGATATTTTGTACATTCCTCTGGAAAATGATAATGTCCTTAATTGGCGTATCGCTTGATAACACGACAGTGTGATATTTCGTAGTCCTCGAGGTTCCGAACAAGCGAAAGTTTCCGAGAAATCACCACATCGCGAGATTCACCGAGAGATTATCCCAAAAACTTGCCGAGAGAGCGACACTCGTTTATCTCTTTCGGAAAACGTCATTACTGATTTTTCGTAGAACACGCACCAGTTTCATGGCTACAGGTTCTTTTTTCTCAGAGAACAAGTGGTGATCCGACCTGAGATGGCTCACTAAACTGATTCGATGTACCACGCCAGTTGGCGATTATATATAGCCAGAATTGTGAGATGTGAATTGCGCCCTACCATCATCGTCCACGGCGTTGCCAAAATTTTCATATTCGTATGTCGAAATCCTTAAATGACCGGTCGACCGGGCGGCGGGTGATGGCACAACGACCATGTTACGCGCAGTCGAGAATGTCAGGCTGGAATGCTCGGGACGGATGCTGGGGAGGTTTCACCTGAACAGGTCGCGATCGAAACTCTGGGTGCTTTCCAGTAAGAGACACTGTGTAACACAGTCATCGTTTCATCTTTGTTTAACATTGGCAAACAACAAAGATACCGTGTCATGTATGTCTGTGTAATTGTTGGAAGGCATCCACAGATGACACAGCGTAACACAATGACTCGTTATATCCTTGTTGTTTGCTACTGTTAAACAAAGATGAAATTATCACTGTGTTACACTGCGTCTCTTTCTGGAATGCATCATCTAATTCCTTGCTCAACTCAATGCCCACCACGAAGGATGATTTACGTCCTGCGTGAGGAAAGCTACGACAGACTTAATTGTCAATTTTCTGCGGAATTTTGTTTTTCGATATTCAAACGCAACGATTATAATAATGCACTTACGAGACTTGCTTGTCGAGAAACGCGCGATTGTACCATTTGCATTGGTCCAGGCGCTGTCGTAATTCTAGAGTTAATAGTCGCGGATTAATCTGGGAGCAATTTCAAATGCACTTTGAGAGATAAGCCCTGCTAAAGGTTACACGTAAATCCTTTACCTCGTATGTCCTCGTTAAATCTTAATCCATTGGTCTTTACTATGTTTTTACGTTACGCAATACCTATATGCACAGGCTCATCTGATGCGAATATTAACGCGCATGTGTGCATGTAGCTCTAATGTATTTGATCAACTAACTAAATTTTTTGTAAATCCAAGCCGGTAATCAATCATACATGACTCCTGTTGCATCACGTTACGATTCATCGAAATCCGCTGAGCAAAACATTTCATTAAGCGTGTAATAAAATTAAGAGAAAATTATAGGTTCACGAGCTTGTGAATTATTATTGGAAATTCTTTGTAGATTGATGAATTGACGGATGCATCTGCCGATTGATTAAAAATAAAAATATAAAAATATGTTTAATTTATATTATTTTATAAAAATTTTTTTAATAATAAGCAATTGTATAAAAATATAATTTCTTTCTAAAATGATAAATGGAACAATATAAATACATATACAAATGTATTTTAAAAGATATTCACAGTCGATTTTTATTTCAAGACCATCTTAATATCTTAAGATACTAAAATAATAGCTAAATGATTGATTTATGACACCTTAAGGCTGAACTTAAAATGGTCTTAAATATAAGAATGAACTATGAATATCAGTTATAGAATCTATTTTAATTGTTTTAAGCAACATTCTTCCCAATCATCAATCGCGAAGCCCCTCGAAGTCACGGAAAATTATTTTCTACTTGACTAATACAAATAGAATCCATCACGATATCAAAAAAGTATTTTTACGATTTTTTATTTTATTTTATTTTACCATTTTTCATAGCAAAATTTTTGGTCTTTCTAGTTCTCCACTATATTTTAAATATCTTTTGTTTGAAATCAAAGTCGATATTCAAATGGCAGTCAAATAGTCAAATTGATAGTCAATAAGGCTCTTCATAATTGATAGTCAATAAGATTCCTCGTAAAAACAAAAAAATTTGAGCTTTCTCGTTATATATCTTTGATCGATGACACGCGAATATCTTATTGTCTGACACGAATTATATCAATGATAATGAAGAAGGAATGATGCGCGCTGGAGGTTTGAAAAGAAAGTATACTGTTACATAAGCAAACAGCTTATGCTAATGATCAAGACTCAGAGACAGAAAAAGAGAGAGAGAGAGAGAGGGGGGGGGGGACCGACACCAGAGAGTAAGGATCTTCTTTGTGGGAGGACAAGTCAACGACGCACCATGCGTGTTCGTGATCTCCTACATGAGAATCTTCATTACATGGAAAATTGAAGATTCTTGCGTAGATCTTCGCGATATAAGGCAATACCGTGACATTTTAATTAACATTCTTAGAGTGATTTTATGAAAGAAAAAAAATACAAATTTGTTTTACATTATTATTAAAAATCGAATTACTATTATCGTTCCTCCTGAATCTGTCATTGAATTAAATAAACTATTAACTTTCTCCACGCAGTGATGCATCGCTCTTTATCTTTGTCTATCTTGTCTAAACATTGGACAATTATATGCGAGCGTGCGTGTCATTACATATTATATAATATGCCATTATATTATCATTGCACATAGATTGTATCGAACTTTCTAATGCGTCTATATGATCAACAGGCCTCGTGTATCGAGTTATATCATACGCGTATGTAATCGGAGGTTGCACGTGGCTATGTTATATTGAAGTACACCCCGCCTCGTATAATTACGAACGTTTGCAACTAATAATACATTGTACAAGCGCCACAGGCTAAGTTACCGATTAATACCCGGGAGTCGTTATCGTCAAATTAGCCAATCGGCACTTTGGTTCGCATCATTGATGAAGGATAACGTTTCCAACAGCCTCGCCCTCTCTATTTTGCCACAAATTGCCTTCACCGATTTTAATGATGAAAAATTAATTTCTAAAAAAAGAGAAGAAAAGAACTTACACGTTCGAATCGATTTGTTTATTATCGATGAAAATTAAGAAGAAATTAAATCACAAATTGAAAGAAATAAGTAAAAAAATTATTGGTAGATTTTAATGATACGTTCTGAATTTTCGGTATGCAAAGTAGGTTTATAATTTTTTTTTGTAATACCGTTCTGAATAATTTTGGACGTAACACTGCTAAAATTAAAACTATGAAATTCGCAAAAGATCATTAAGTCTGAGAGATCGAGGCTTCTGGAACATCATATATAGACTAGTCGAGTTAGTGCATCGTCCCGTAGCGGCGACGGTCACGTCAGATCGTGACTTTTCCTTTCTGTGGCGAGAGCGGTTTTTCAAGGCGCGATATTATTGTATAATCGATTGTATGCGACGGTATTAGACAGCGCAGATGGATGCAGAAAGGAGACGTGCGATCATTCCGGATAAACAGATGCGAACCGTTCGTCACGCGTCGGCGTTACGCAAAGATCCTCAGCACGTTACGCGCTGCGTACGAGGACCCCGAAGTTGACACCTGATCTCTATCATCCTATGCTAACAATTAATAACCTGCTGGCAATTTCGCTGATGGTTTCAACAAGAAACTTTTTAATTCCTATGAAGTATCGAAAGTCGATCTTGTGATTAAGAAATTTAAAAAGTCTCGATTTAAAATAGAGATGCAAATATAAATCCACGAAAAAATTATTTTGCTGAAATATCTAAAAATTTTTACTCTTTTTTAGAGTAAATCTTACTTTAAAGAGCGAAATCTTTTAAAAAGTGAAAATTGAGCTACCCTCTTTAAAAACTCAATTTTTACTCTTTAGAGCGAGATTCCACTTCAAAGAATTTAGAGAGTAGGTAGATAATTAGATATAGATTTAAAAATAATTTTTGTTAGATCATCAAAAGAATTATATAGGAAACACTCGAGCATGACGAGCGATGTTGCAAAAAATTGTAACGTTCTAGCAGTTTTCAGCAAGTTTGAACTTATTTTACATAATTATTTTGATAATCCAACAAAATTATTTTTAGATCTGCATGTTGTTAAATTTTTGCACTGAAAAGATACTAAATTTTAATAAGTATTTATTTGAATAGATCTAAATAAATATTTAAATGTAAACATTTATTTGTTTGGTACAAGAATCATTAATTTGATCTAACCATCTTTTTTTATTGAGTAAACATTTTTTTACTGTATAAATAAATATTTAATTACAATACCTACTATTCAAAGAAATATGTATTAAGATGTAGTAAATTTTTTTTCAGTGTAGATACTTCAGTTCTTTTCGTACTTCTATTCCGTGAATAAAATTGAGATCTCGAATGTCGAGACGCGCATCTCGCGCTTTTTTTGTGAAAAATAACCAAACGGAGGAATGTACGAGAATTAATGTGTCTAGGAAAATTGTCTGTCTCGAAATTGCGATTTTAACACGGACTTCCCGGGGAGCGAGTCCGTCGATCCCGCTGGGCAAAAGACGAGACGGAGAACGACGGAGGACGGCGACGCCGCTTTTCAACGAGGAACTTGCACACGGGTCGGGAATTTCGCAAGAATCCTGCTGGACCGCGCGAGGTCGTCGCCGTTGCCGGTTAAAGGCACACCTTGCGTAACATCACCGCCGCGAGCACGACGGCACGGATCCTAAATGCCACCACACTCTGTCGACGGACGGATGGGTCTGTACACCGGCTGCGCCGCATGCATTAAACGACGAGGTGAAGTCGCATGGTACGGTGTACTTCTGATCTATCGTTCCTCCTCGGTAGGGGAATTTATCTATAGCTGGCCTATCTTCAGCTATTAAATTTACGACAAGGTGATAAAACTAATCCGGAGAAGCCAACGCGAGGAGCCGTCCTTAATTGGTTATTCTTTACGATTTCTTGGATCTCTCTAGTGTCCAGTATTACGCATGCTAATGATGACGTAAAGTAACGTTCCAAGCAGCCAGAGGTCATTTAAGCTTATGTCAGAGATGCCAGTCTGCGGTTATTTAAAAATTCTTCCTTCTCTCTCTCTCTCTTTCTCTCGCGCTCGAAAAATCACCTCGAAAAATTATCGGCGTATCTTGACCGCGAAGGAATTGATTTAGATGTATCGCACGAACCGTAAAATTAAGAGATTTGGAATTTACATTTAATTAACATCTCCAAATGGTTGCATTACAAGGAAATAGCTATGAACGCGTCGCGCTCGTCTGGCCAGTTCTACCGCGAACTACTGCCACGGAAAGAACAGTTTTGCTGAAGTATCTAAAAATTTAGCTAGATCTAAACATGATTTTGTTAAATTACCAAAATAATTATGTAGGATGCTCGAA